TGGCGCCGGCGCGACGCAGCGCATGCGCGCGGCGGAACAGGCGGCTCTGAATGGGGAAGCCAAGCGGGTCTCTCCTCACAGACGACAGAAGGGGCGCAGCGCATGCGCAGCCAGGAGGCGGCGCTGCTCGCCGGGCCATTTCGACTCAGGAAGAGCGGCGCATGCGCGCAGGGGGGGCGGAAAGCTTCAGCTTGTGGCCACGCCCGCCGAGCTCTTAAAGGGACATACACCTAACTCTAGAGTGGGGGAGGGGGAGCTAATTTCAGGTGCGGCATAATTTTTTGTTTATATTTCAAGGAAGAATTTTTATTTATCTACGCGAGGCAGGCATGGGTGCAGGAAGGCCCTCTGCCCATGTGCAGAGGGCCTTTCACATCTTTTAATTTCACGAAATTAGACTTTTGGAACAGGGTTAGATTGAAATCTTCCTTCAGCCATGGGGGAAAAAAAGGGTCTCTCTTTTCCAGCCTGACCTGTCTCTCAGGAGAGGTATGCTGGCTGGGGCATTCTGGGAGTTGCAAAATCTAGACCATTCCTTTGATTAATTTGAGCCTTGGTCTTAAATGAACAATTAAGAGCCACTAGGTTTACAAATGACCCGCTCCTAGTTTAGCCACGTACTGCTAGAACTAGTTTGTTGTTAGGCCCTCACTTCACAATTTATCAGAACACCTCTTGCAACCCTCTGATCGTCATCATGATGTCTACGTAGAGCAGAATATATGGCAGCAGGACACAGAGATACATCTACAGCCACACAATGGTTGTGATTTTGAGTACTGCTTCCTCATAGATCAAACTCACTAAACCGAGTAGGAAACGGCCCCATTTAAGCATTTAAATACAAAAATCCTTGAATAGCACAATTAAAAGATAATTACAAAGAAACCACTGTGCAAACAATAATCCCCCTTTTTAAAGGAGAAGAAAACTCAATCTAAATATGCAATTAAGTCAACAAATCGATTCAGCAATTAGCTAAACTGTAAGTTGGCAATTACAGAGGCTGTAAACAAGACCATTAAGCCGTTTAGTCGTTAAATAATGCCAGCTGCTAATTAATTGCGGGATTAAGTTATTAATTAATCTTTTAGACCATTCTGGAATCCACTCTAGTTATTTACAAGTGTAATACTCAAATGTGGATTAATCGCTTATTCAGTTTTAGGGCATAAAAGAATTATGGCAGCTGCTTGCTGATCATCTGTTTCTCATTCTTGATATCATAGGCAATCCAGTGGCCATGAGTTTCACAGACACCTTCTTTGAGGAAGGGCAGAAAACACTCCATTCATGCACCCCTTTAAGGCTAAAAAATATTTTAAAAAGCACCACTAAATTCTATTTTCTCTCCTTCATTTACTGCAGGCCGCCGGGGAAAATAATAGATGCCTGCTTTAAATCTTTCCTTCTTTTAATGCTTGAAATCTTTTATCTCCTGCCATATATCTAGAGATTATGGGATGGGGGCGTAGGTGACAAGCCGCACAATGAGATTGTTTTAAAACCATTTAAAACAGGGAGTCCTCAGATATCAACCTCGGAATATGCGGACAATCTGTTCTGAGTTTAAACAGCAAAACACACTCCTTTTAAGATCGTTTATGGACAAGATTCCATGCCAGTCTATCTGGGTGGTGTAATTTTTTTCCCTTGCATTAACACATTCTCTCTCCTTCCAGAGAGAAAGAAGACACAATTTTGAAAACTTAGGAGGGAAAAATAAAGTTTAACTTCTAAGTTTTGTTGCCACCCATACTGAAACTTTTTTTAAAATCTCAGATCCTTCCCAAACAGTTAGAAAGAGACATGGATAAAGTTGGTGACAGAATAAACCAAATTTATTCCTCACCCCTAGATAGCAAAATCTACACTGTGTTCCCTAGAATAGTATACTTAAAAGGGCACGGTTTAAGCAGTGATGGCAGGGACTCTAATAAGACAATATTTTAGATCTAGGTTTTATGTCTGGAATTTTTTAATTTCCTGCAGTTTTATAAGCTGTTTTGATGGATGCCCAGCTTGGCCTGCTTCAGATCTCCTTGAAGAATACGATGGTCAATAAGATGGCTGTTGCGTCCTTTTGGTTGCATTCATGCCACTTTTCTTCCCCGTGATAAGATTGCGGTCACCAAAGGTCATCATCATCTTAGAATGGCAGAGCTGGAAGGGACCCTCTGGATCATCCAGTCCAGCCCCCATCAAGGAGGTCCAGTGGGAGAATTCGAACTCCCAGCCTCTGGCTCCCCAGCCGGAGCCCTCAACCCCTGGGAATGAAGGAAAATCAAGAAATCACACAATATGTAAAACGCAGAAAGCCAGGAAAGCAAAGAAACAAAAAGATAATTTAGCTATCCATTGGGATTGTTACAGCTGATCATTCAGGGCTACATAATGCAGGAATTAACCTCAAAGATGAGTTTGGTTTAGAGGGCCACATCCGAGATTATATTGTCCGGCCTCCATTATGAGAAGAATACCAAAGACCCTTAGGTGACATCTCACCCAGCAGCCTCCCAGCTGTTGCCAAACCCGGCCCGAGAATTCCTCCACCCCCCAAACGGATTAATCATTGTATTTATTAGGCTTAGGGACAGAATCCCTACTAAAGCCGAGACTTTGCCAGATACACAGGCTGCTTTGCGAAGGCAGACCGTTTGTGAAAACACAATTAGGAAAACCCGGTAATCTCCACTAATTACATGCTGGGACTCGGGGCGGGGGAAGGTGCCTTCATTCGGCTGGGCAGCGAGCAGGGCTTTGAGATCCCCCGCGGGGTTCTCCGGAACTGGAGGACAATGCACGGTGGCCGAGGGGGTTCCCCAGTGGTGTGAACTATGGGAGACGTTCGGCCCGAAAACCGGAGACTTCCCGGAGCCTCCTTCACCATTGACTACCTGCTTTTTGACAAGGGGAGGGTGGGCCATGGAGATCCAGAAACCAGCAGCCAGCAAGATCCAGGGGAAAGGAAGGAAGACACCGAGGCTGAACCATCTCGGGGACTGGAGTCCGGGGACCTCCAGGATAAACCCAACCAGTCTTACATCGCCCTCATCTCTACAGCCATCCTCTCGTCCCCGGAGAAAAAGCTTCTGCTCTCGGATATCTACCAGTGGATCATGGACAACTACCCATACTTCAAAAACAAGGTATGTCTTGCCGCAGCCAGGTCCCTCCGTGGGGCGGGAGAACTGGAGCCACCCAACGTTGGTGGAAGAGTTTTATCTGAACGTCTTCTCCAGCCAGTTGTCTGCTCGGTCGAATCGGTCACCCCAGATGGATTGATCAATTCTCTGGTGGTTTCTCTGTCCGATGGGGGGAACTCAAGAGGAGTTGGTAAAGAGCTCCCGGAGTCTGGATCAGGCCGAAGAGACCTGTTGACATGACCCCAGCAACTCCTGGGGCTCCAAAGCCAAAACTCTTCCAATCTGTAGAGGTCTGATATGTTGCTTTCTCCAAAACCAAACACTGGGAAGCGACTCTGGAAGCTTGGCGCCAGCCCAGCAACGGCCCGTATTCTGCACCAACAGGTTTTCAGAGGGATTTCAGGGCACTGGAGATCCCACAAATCTGTAGCTCCCCCAAAGCTGGGGGCTCGGATTGTATGGGGATGGTAAATCTGCATGTTTTTTAAGGGACCAAACTTTACCAGCGCTGTCCTGGGTGCTGAACTGAATCCATAAAAAAAAGGAAGAGGGATTAGTCTTTTATTTGGCAACCTGCTGGGTGGTGAAGGAAGGAAGGAAGAAAGAAAGAAAGGGAGAAAGAAAGAATAAGAGAGAAGGAAGGAAGGAAGAAAGAAAGAAAGGGAGAAAGAAAGAATAAGAGAGAAGGAAGGAAGGAAGAAAGAAAGAAAGGGAGAAAGAAAGAATAAGAGAGAAGGAAGGAAGGAAGAAAGAAAGAAAGGGAGAAAGAAAGAATAAGAGAGAAGGAAGGAAGGAAGAAAGAAAGAAAGGGAGAAAGAAAGAATAAGAGAGAAGGAAGGAAGGAAGAAAGAAAGAAAGGGAGAAAGAAAGAATAAGAGAGAAGGAAGGAAGGAAGAAAGAAAGAAAGGGAGAAAGAAAGAATAAGAGAGAAGGAAGGAAGGAAGAAAGAAAGAAAGGGAGAAAGAAAGAATAAGAGAGAAGGAAGGAAGGAAGAAAGAAAGAAAGGGAGAAAGAAAGAATAAGAGAGAAGGAAGGAAGGAAGAAAGAAAGAAAGGGAGAAAGAAAGAATAAGAGAGAAGGAAGGAAGGAAGAAAGAAAGAAAGGGAGAAAGAAAGAATAAGAGAGAAGGAAGGAAGGAAGAAAGAAAGAAAGGGAGAAAGAAAGAATAAGAGAGAAGGAAGGAAGGAAGAAAGAAAGAAAGGGAGAAAGAAAGAATAAGAGAGAAGGAAGGAAGGAAGAAAGAAAGAAAGGGAGAAAGAAAGAATAAGAGAGAAGGAAGGAAGGAAGAAAGAAAGAAAGGGAGAAAGAAAGAATAAGAGAGAAGGAAGGAAGGAAGAAAGAAAGAAAGGGAGAAAGAAAGAATAAGAGAGAAGGAAGGAAGGAAGAAAGAAAGAAAGGGAGAAAGAAAGAATAAGAGAGAAGGAAGGAAGGAAGAAAGAAAGAAAGGGAGAAAGAAAGAATAAGAGAGAAGGAAGGAAGGAAGAAAGAAAGAAAGGGAGAAAGAAAGAATAAGAGAGAAGGAAGGAAGGAAGAAAGAAAGAAAGGGAGAAAGAAAGAATAAGAGAGAAGGAAGGAAGGAAGAAAGAAAGAAAGGGAGAAAGAAAGAATAAGAGAGAAGGAAGGAAGGAAGAAAGAAAGAAAGGGAGAAAGAAAGAATAAGAGAGAAGGAAGGAAGGAAGAAAGAAAGAAAGGGAGAAAGAAAGAATAAGAGAGAAGGAAGGAAGGAAGAAAGAAAGAAAGGGAGAAAGAAAGAATAAGAGAGAAGGAAGGAAGGAAGAAAGAAAGAAAGGGAGAAAGAAAGAATAAGAGAGAAGGAAGGAAGGAAGAAAGAAAGAAAGGGAGAAAGAAAGAATAAGAGAGAAGGAAGGAAGGAAGAAAGAAAGAAAGGGAGAAAGAAAGAATAAGAGAGAAGGAAGGAAGGAAGAAAGAAAGAAAGGGAGAAAGAAAGAATAAGAGAGAAGGAAGGAAGGAAGAAAGAAAGAAAGGGAGAAAGAAAGAATAAGAGAGAAGGAAGGAAGGAAGAAAGAAAGAAAGGGAGAAAGAAAGAATAAGAGAGAAGGAAGGAAGGAAGAAAGAAAGAAAGGGAGAAAGAAAGAATAAGAGAGAAGGAAGGAAGGAAGAAAGAAAGAAAGGGAGAAAGAAAGAATAAGAGAGAAGGAAGGAAGGAAGAAAGAAAGAAAGGGAGAAAGAAAGAATAAGAGAGAAGGAAGGAAGGAAGAAAGAAAGAAAGGGAGAAAGAAAGAATAAGAGAGAAGGAAGGAAGGAAGAAAGAAAGAAAGGGAGAAAGAAAGAATAAGAGAGAAGGAAGGAAGGAAGAAAGAAAGAAAGGGAGAAAGAAAGAATAAGAGAGAAGGAAGGAAGGAAGAAAGAAAGAAAGGGAGAAAGAAAGAATAAGAGAGAAGGAAGGAAGGAAGAAAGAAAGAAAGGGAGAAAGAAAGAATAAGAGAGAAGGAAGGAAGGAAGAGAGTCTGGAATTAGGCCATGGTTTTGTAAATAGAAACATATGCCAATGGGCTGCTAGAGTTTTTACATCAACCGCCTGGGAACACTCAGCATCTCTTAATTATACAGCCATCTAAACAGCCTAAAACCCTGTTGATACGCACTAAAAAGTGCATCGCTATACAGTACTTTAAAAAAAGATATTTATTGTAATTGGAAGGATATTGTTCCTTGCAGTTTAAACCTCATCCTTCCAACTTCTCTGGGATCTCTGCCTCATCAGAGTCTACCTTTAAGATAATTACCCCAGCTAGTTTACACTCCTCCCACTCGCATACTCTTCCAGGGGCCTCCAGTGCCTCCTTTGAGCTCCGAGGATTCGTTTTAGCTCATTGAACCACCCTCAGGCGCCCTCCGGCACATGATGCGGCCCTGCCTGCCACCAGCCAGCAGTGGGCGCTGTTGCTCGGTCTGATGCTTCTGGGGGTGGGGAAATAAAGGCAGTTGGATGAATTGGAAGCTGAGAGAATCATAGAGACAACATTGAATGGGAAGAGAAACGTGTCGGGGATCCAGCATGCAAGATTGTCCCAAAATATTGTTATCTACATGGCTTCGTTACAGCTGCTCCCATGGAGAGGGGGAAAAATGCACTCTGCTCATGTCCAGAGGCTGGATTTTCTCAAATACAGTATTTCATTAGGGAGGTCTCTAAACTGTTCCTTTGATTCAAGTCATCCTCTCACAAGACCATCCACGAGTCCTCCAGGCTGTATTATGTGTGACCAGCGTCTGTGGGTCTTGCTTTTCTTCTCTCCCTTTCACCCTGCCCAAAGAGCTTGGAAGGAACAGGTCTAAGAACCATAGTTACCTGTAACTAGTTACTTCTTGGGAATCACAGGATTTCATGGAGTTGTATTTCAAAAAAAGAATGTGCCAAGCAGGCACCAGGTTATTTCACAGCTATAGTCACGTTTGCTAGCGACTTCCCAAAGCAATTTTCCCAAGCACCTTAAGAGCCTTTCAGAGGCAATTCAGCCTGTTTAAAAATAGTAACTTTTACACCATGCTCGGATTCCGCCAGAAAAAAAAGGGAGCAGAAAAATAAGCCAAAGTGGTGCGAAACCAGTTCCAATATTCCAGCGAGCGCCTCTTCCTGCACCACAGAAGGGAATGACTCTCGAGAAAGTAACTTCCTGAACCTGGCTTATTTTTTCTCAGGAGAAAAGCTGGCGCAACAGTGTGCGCCACAATCTCTCTTTGAACGAGTGTTTCGTCAAAGCGGGCCGGAGTGACAACGGGAAGGGGCACTTCTGGGCCATCCACCCAGCCAACCTGGACGATTTTGCCAAGGGGGACTACCACCGGCGCAGGGCCCGAAGGCGGATCCGCAGGTGAGACCTGGGCAGCTGTGGTGCTGGCATCCTCCCCCCCCAAGCACCAAAATAAATCCATCACTGATCCCTCACCCCCTGCCGCGCCATATGTGGCATAAACCACCCCGCTCCTATCCTCTAATGGGTTCTCCAGTACTTATCCCCCCCCTTGGTCAAGGATAAGACCTTTAGCCCTCCAGGCTGACCGAACCCTGACCTCCCTAGACCCCTGGCCATTGGGTCGGCCGGCGGGCCCACCCAGGCTGCTCGGCTTTCACTCTTGGTGTGTGACTGTGAGGGATGGCCGCCCAGACCTCCCCAGCCATCGGAGGTCACAGGCGTAGGAAATCAAGGGGGCTGGATGGATTTTCTAGAGCCGGGGGGGGGGTCCTTGGCGGTGGGTTGAACATCTGCGCGGAGTGACGGTGGAAAACCCCTAAGAGAAAGATCTTCCCCCCCCCCCCGCAGCTCACTGGGGTCAGAGAAAAAAGAGGCAGAGAGACTGGATCGTAAAACCCGGATAAAACATCTGGCAGTTCATGAAGCACCCCAAAGACCAAATGTAATATTTGAGAGCAGAGGAAAAAACCTCTATAAAAACACTGGAAAACCACAGACCGGGGCAGGGTTGGAAAGCGGGACAAATAAGACTCCCAAGCCGGCCAGATACAGCTCAAGATCCCCAGCAGACTTTGCAACTTTTTTGGGGGGGGTTGTTTCTTTTTTAATTGAAAACCAGTCTGTCTTTCTTCTCTTCACTTCCTTCCTCTTAGGATGGCCATGAACTGCGGCTACTGCCACCCCTACCCCTTTTACGGACTCAGCTGCTGTCCCCCAGGCCGCTACTGCCTTTGCTGCCTGCCCTTTGGCCCCCCGGGCCTGGCTGCCGGCCCACCGACCCCTGGGCTTCCGGGCTTCCCTCCTCTCTTCCTCCCCTCGGCCGCAGTGGCCGCCTGGCCTCGCTCTTTCCTCTCTGGAGGCGGGGTGGCGAAGACGCCGGCTGAAAAACGGCACGGATGGGCAGCTGTCTGGAGCCGGTCCTACCCGCCGATCGCCACGGCATTGACACACGCCAACCTCTGATCCTTCCTGGCTGACAGATAAAGCTTGGGTTTTGCTTTGTTGGGGTGTGTGCGTGCATGCGTACAGAAATCCTTTTACGACCAGAGAAACACCAGTCCCTTCTGTACAGAAACACCACGGTGCACCACAAGCCTGCACCCTTGCGAAGCCTGAATTGATTGCTCGTGTCTGGTAGACTGCGTCTGCCCAAGGAGGCTCCATGTCGGCCCACCGCTTACCTGGAATCGTTTGCATTCGGTCCTCTCCTTCCTGAAGCTGACCCCCCTCGCCATCAGCGTCTCTCTGCCCGCGTTTTGGCTTCCAGAGCTGCTCGCGGCCCTGCCGAAAAGCCGTCCCTAGAGAGACTGGGCAGGAGGATTGTGACTTGAACCGTAACTGAACCATTTCGGACACACCTGTGGCAGGTGACAGCTGAAATGAAGGACGTGAAAATATTCTAGATTGACGGGCGGTCCGATTTCTGAGATTGGGGAACGCGATACCTCTGGGAAGCCAATAAAGAGGCCCTAATGACAATGCTTTCCAACGTGAATTGCTCGTGTCTGGTAGACTGTGTTTATCCACAGAGGCTCCGCTTCACTGTGGTAGCTCATGACATACAGCCTGACGGCCTCTCCGCCTTCAACAGGGAGAACACGGAATCTTTGGCCCGGCCGATAGTTTTGTGGACTACAACTCCCATGATCCTTTATGATGGTTGGGGGATTCCCAAACATCCAAAGGGCCTGTGGTTCATCACCTGGAACAAAAAGCAAGGGAAAATTCTTCCTATTGAGGCCTGCATTTGCTGCAATGCCTCAGGGGTCCCATCCTGAGAGTGGGCGGGAGCGGGTGGAGCCAGAGTCAAAGTGGGTGGGGCTTGCCTTCTGGGCAGAGTGGAACCCTACTGCAACATTTTGTCGCAGCTTCTAAGTTTGTACGATTCCAATTTCTGGTCGTCTCCATCAATCCTACTCTGGTCAGGCAATGGCTGGGCTTTCTTTTGCATTTGGGTGGTTTGTTTTAAACGACGGCAAATTCGTTAAGTACAGACTGTGGAGCGTTTCGGTCTTCCAGCATGTGCAGAGTGAGGGCAGGGGAATGGAGAAACAATCCAGAAAATGGATTTGGTCGATTGGCTAATCCTGAATTTTTATTTAAAACACACACGCATCCACACAAGCCCGCCCCACGCCTGGCCTAACGGCTCGCCTGTTAATTGTTCCTGATGCCCTTAATGAAAAGATCGGCCCTCCGGGCCAGTAAAGTGGCATTAAGAGAGATAACGCTGCCTCTTAATCCGAACAGATAAGCCCCCCCTAAATCTTCTAGCGGCCTCGAAAAATAGGAGACTTATGACACAAGCTAATCCTTTTAACAATACGGTTGCCCTTTGAGTCGAGCCGGGGTGCGAAGGCCGATTGCCATGGCGTGCGGGCGTTTGAAGCTGAAACTCATCTTTTTTGGGGGGGGCCTCCACCGGAGTCCTGAAGGTTTGCTCGGAACACAATGCCCATGATCCCCACCACTCCTTGGGACGCTCTCCCGTAGCCAGCTTCTTAAAAGCAACTCACTACGTTCAGCCACCAAGAAAAAATTGGGTTTTTGAACTCTTCATGATCTCCAGGAGTGGGCTTTTTGCAAAGCTAACGGCTCTTCATTGCCCGTTCCAAGACCCTGCTGCTGCAAAGCTTGTGACTGAGAGGGATTCAAAGTGAGGGAATTTTTTGGGGGGGTGGAAAAACGACATCCTCTTCCGTAACCAAGCTACACACAGGGCTACCTTCTGGAAATTCCCTTTATCAAGAGCTCTCCTCCGACAGTTATGGTGGCATTCTCCATTCTCCTCTCCTGTCTCCTCACCTTCTTGTCCGGGGACTAGAATCTGGCCAATTTTGGTCCCGGTCCATCCATCATTCCACGGGTCCACGCTGGCTCTCTTTCTTTCTGACGATTGCCAGCCAGTGATCCGTGGCTCGTGATGCCTCCAAAGTCGAGGGCTTGAACCTTTCCCACAGGGCAGACACGAAGAGGGCACCCATCTCCTTCTTTGCTTGAGCCAACAGGTAATTCCGAGGTAGACTGGTCTCATTCCAGGAGGCTCCATCTTGACAAACTTGAATTTGAGGCGCTCCATCTTGGCCACATCCCGATCCCTCCTTTTGTCCAGCGCCCTCCTTAAATTTGCCACCATCTGCTCGGTGACAGCTTGGGCCCACCCGCCCCCTTCCTGGGCTGCTCGACGTTGCTAACCCTGCTCCTCCTTACCCTGCTGCGAGCGCCGGCATTAGCTGTGTCTCTCGGGATATAATCCGTGCAAAAAGACCGGATTAGAAGCAACCTCGTGTGTCTCCGATCCTGCCTCAAGTGGTGCTTAGTTCACGCCACGGGGAGGGAAGCCGCTTATAGTGGGGCCAGAGCCGGGCAGGACGGGTGGGGGTGGCTCCGGGAAGCGCCTTTAAGGCCAAGGAATAAATGTAGGGCAAACGGTGCCAATTAACCCATAATAAGCAAAGGGTGTGTGTGTGCATGGGTGAAGGGAATCGGAGAGAAGAGGGACACGGCCTTGCAAAAAGAAAAAATCATTTCCAAATTGAAGAAATCTGTTACAACTTGTGTTTTTTTAAGAGTTTCAAAATAAAATATTAACCAAAATTTATATATCCGCCGCCCCCCGTGCCAAAAGACGAAACACTAAATTTGATCATCATTGGGCACAACCACTTCTAAGAGTGGGATTTGGGGGGACTATAAATTTTCTGGGAGTTCCAGACGCTGACATGTGTAGCTCACCTGGAGGAAAGGCCTAGCTGGGAAAAGGCTAGGCATAGGCCTAGCTCGGTGTCAGCTTCCTGTGCAGAAAGGAAGCTGGCTAGGAACTTCCTTTCTGAACAGGAAGTCAGGATGGAGCTAGGCCGAGGTGAAGCCTTTTTCCTGGGAGAGCCCCATTTTCAATGTCTGTAGCTGTGAGCCTATCAGGGGGAATTCCCAGAATGGAGAATTGCAGGATTTATGGTCCCTAAATTTTTTTCCCAAAACTTCCATGTCTAACGACCAGTATAATAATCAAACGAAAAAAGGCAAGGAGCTTCCACATTGTGTCAGGCCCTGCAATGGTATTTCCGTGCATCTGCAGGTGGGAGAGCACATGGCACTGCTGCCCAAGGGTGAGCGACACCCGCCCAACCCCCACCTTGGCTCATTTGGAAATAAAACGCAACCAGCGGTCGAAGAAAAACAAACCCCAAGAAGTAAACAAAAGACAAAGCCAAGTTTTGAGAGAAAAGAACTCTATTAGTGCAAAAAAGGAAAAAAAAAAACCAGATCTCTGTTACAGTACAATATCGAGAAGGAAAAATAAAACATACAATGGTTTTGATTTTTTAGTCCACAATCCTGAACAACAGAAGAAGAAAAATAATCAAATTTTACTTTGTGCATGTGTGTGTGTGTATGTAAATCTTTGCTCTTCTATTACAACGAACGGCAAAAATATTCTAGAGCAGATTTTTTTTCTCCCTCGACACACCCTAAGTTCGTTTTCGAAACTGCAATGGGGTTACCCATTGAAAAATAAAATAAAATCGGGTTAATTTGGTGAAGGAATCCTCAAGCTTCCTCAACGAAGCCTTCCTGAATTTAGTTTACGCATGTGTGTGTTGGAAAATGAGCAAGAAATGTGTGTTCCCGATGTGAACGCAAGAAAGAGAAACGACACGATGCAAACGGTGGAAAAGTCCCAGGCCAAGAGAGAGGAAAGGGGGGGGGGGAAACGGGACTTATTTTTATCGCTTACACCAGAACGGGTAAGATTTTGGAGAGGAGAAAAGACCTTACCAAAAGGAGGCAGGGAGAAACCTACAGAAGTGTTGGAGGAGACATTTTCAAGCAGGAACCGTTTTGCAGAAGTGATCAAAAGTTGGGGAAGTTTTCACAGAGCTGGCACAGCCCCCTTTCCGTTCTCATAAAGATTGTGACTCTTTCAAACCTGCCCCTGAATCTGAAACAATAACCCGCTTGGCCCTTAACGTACACTAGAAACCGAGCCACGGTCCTGAAAGTGGGTGTACGAAACTGGCAGGCGCCAGACCATGTGGTTCTTTGGGTGCAGAAAGACAGGAGAAAACGGGAGTGACGCCCGGCATTTTAGGACGGCCATGGCTTGCTCTAAGAAACCTTGGGGAAATCGCCTCCCTGGGGTCTACAACCGAACGATTTTTCAAACTGGTTTCAGATGCGTTTCTTCGACTCTCGTGGCCTGTGAGCGCATGAACTCCCTGAGAGAAGCCGGCCAGAGAAAGCCACAAAATCCTCGGCTGAAGGGGGCCTTTCTGCAAGCCGCGTCGTGCGGATGCCCTTTGGAACGTAGGGTGTCCCCGCTACTCAGCTTTGTCACGCAACTAGAAATTCGCTCCTCGAGGGGAACAGGTGCAAGGGGAGCCGTGAAAGAGCCATGCTTCAGGGGAAAAGGAGGCTCCGTTTTTCAAAAACATTTTTTGCCAAAAATAATTTTCAAGGCTATAAAACGGCTGTGACTGGACCTCCCGACGGCGGTGGCCGAGAAGCCCTACAGAACTCCATCAATGACTTTTAATTGGGAAAGCTTACATTCGCAACTGCCCGAAAATTGACTCTCTGCAAGCCCTCACAAATATAAGCAAGCACTTGGAAAAAAAAGTGGTTTTTTTGGGGGGGGGAATGTATTTTTAATTCCAGATGGACACCGAAGTTGCCCCCATTCCCATTCTCAAGGATTTGTCTGGGAAAACATGGTGCCAGAGCGGGGGGGCGGCTGGCTGCCTTGGGCTGCGACGACCTCCCAAGGCCGAGAGGTGAAGTGGATCAAATCAGGAAAAGAGAAGCCGGACAGACGAACAGAAACGCCATCAAGAAAACCCCAAGGGATTTCCAGAAGAAACTCGGACAAAAGATGTGAGGCACAGAGGAATCGGAGGGACATGGCTTCCTTCTTCCAGGTTTTTCTCCAGGAAGAAACACATGGCTTGGTTAGGTGCAAGGAT